ACTACACACACACTACACACACACCACTACACACACACACACCACTACACACACACCACTACACACAAACTACACACTACACACACACTACACACACCACTACACACACTACACACTACACACACCACTACACACACACTACACACACACACACACCACACACACACACACACCAATACACACAAACTACACACTACACACACACAGTACACACACACTAACTGGTTTCTGTCTGGTCCAGTGCTGGTTCTGGTTCCGGACTCCCAGCTGGAGGACACTCCCTGCATCCTGGACGTGGACATGTTCCACCTCCTGGTGAGTCCTGGTAGTGTCCAGGTGACCCTCATGTGACCCCCAGGTGACCCTCATGTGACCCCCTGTCTCCTGTCTGCAGGTGTACAGCGTCTTGTCCTACAACTCTCTGCACAGTCTGGACCAATCAGGACAAAGCTCTGTGGATTCAGCTCACCTTCACCTGCTTCACCTGGTCACTTTGGCTCACCTGGTTCAGGTGCTGCTCACCTTCAGCGCCGGTAGGGAGGACATTCAGACAGAGACGGCTCGTCCCTGTGGTGTCCAGGTGAGCTGAGTATGGATCAGGAAGGCGAGGACTCAGAGGAGGAGCGGCTCACCTGTCAGCTGTACGGCAGACTGAGGGATCTCCTGGGCAGGTAAGTGACGCTGGTTCCATCAGGCGTGTGGGTGGAGAATGCGATCGGCTGACGAGGCGTGTGTGTTGAGCAGGTGTTTACCTGACGTGCCCTCTGGGTGGCGACTATGGAGGTGTGTCCGAGCCGGCGTCCTGCCCTTCCTCCGCACCGCAGCCCTCTTCTTCCACTACATGAACTCTGCGTCGCCCCCTGCTGACCTGCTGGGTGAGAGCACCTGCACACTGAACACCTCCACTGTGGCAGCTTCACTTGAACCCGTTTGTTATTGGCTGTAGGTACTGGACCTGGCCAGTGGGAGGCGCTGTGTAGCTACCTCAGTCTGCCCTCCAATCTGCTGCTGCTGTACCAGAAACACCGTACACTGCTGGAACCGCTAATCCACAGGTAACCCACCTGACCACTGGTCCAGGTGAGCTGCCAGGTGCGTCACATCAGCCCCGGGGGGGCAGAAGGAGGAGGAGCAGCGAAGTCGTGTCATGTGTTGGTCATGAACTCTGACCCTGATCCTCCCCTCTAATTCCCCGCCATAGTCCGCAGTCTACTCCCAGTCCGATATTTATGTAAATTGATATCTGACCAGCCAGGTGATCTGCTGCTGGCCATTAGAGAAACCAAAGCCAGAACAACCCAGTGGGGCAGCTGTCACTGAGTGTGTGTGTGTTGCTCCAGGTGGTGCTGCCATCCAGGTGTGAGCCAGGTGCTCCATGGGGGCGGAGTCTTGGTGCGGTTCCCCAGAGAGTCCAACAGGTTGATCGATCTGCCAGAAGACTACAGCATCCTGATCAACCAGGCCTCCAGCTTCACGTGAGCGACCCCGAATGAAAGGAGGAGAACTGCAGGCTGGTGCTAGCCCCTGCGGCTAGCTCCTAAAGCTAGCCCCTGAGGATAGCGCTTAAAGCTAGCCAGCTAGCCCCTGAGGCTAGCTCCTAAAGCTAGCCCTGAGGCTAGCCTAAAGCTAGCCCCTGAGCTAGCGCTAAAGCTATAGCTAAAGCTAGCCCCTGAGGCTAGCGCCTAAAGCTAGCGCCTAAAGCTAGCCCCTGAGGCTAGCGCTTAAAGCTAGCCAGCTAGCCCCTGAGGCTAGCACCTAAAGCTAGCCCCTGAGGCTAGCGCCTAAAGCTAGCCCCTGAGGCTAGCTCCTAAAGCTAGCCCCTGATGCTAGCGCTTAAAGCTAGCCCCTGAGGCTAGCGCCTAAAGCTAGCCCCTGAGGCTAGCGCCTAAAGCTAGCCCCTGAGGCTAGCTCCTAAAGCTAGCCCCTGACGCTAGCGCTTAAAGCTAGCCCTGAGGCTAGCTCCTAAAGCTAGTCCCTGAAGCTAGCTCCTAAAGCTAGCCCCTGGAGCTAGCTCCTAAAGCTAGCCCCTGAAGCTAGCTGCTGTGTCCTTTGCAGGTGTCCGCGGTCCGGTGGGGATAAGTCTCGCGCCCCCACGCTCTGCCTGGTTTGTGGCTGCATGCTGTGCTCTCAGAGCTACTGCTGCCAGACGGAGGTGGAGGGAGAAGACGTCGGCGCCTGCACCGCCCACACCTTCACTTGTGGGGCGGGCGTTGGCCTATTCCTCAGGTAACACAGCTGCCCTGCGTTTATTACACCTGTTATTGAGGCTGCGACGATGTTACCGTGTGTGTGTGTGTGTGTGTGTGTGTGTGTGTGTGTGTGTGTGTGTGTGCAGGGTCAGGGAGAGCCAGGTGTTGTTTGTTGCAGGTAAAACTAAGGGCTGCTTCTATCCCCCACCGTACCTGGACGACTATGGAGAAACCGACCCTGGCCTCAAGTATGTCCTAATGTTTTATCTGGGCTCCATTGATCAGGGCTTCTGAACTCAGAACTCGAGGTAACTTGACTCAGAGTTGAGTTGATTTGTCCTGTCTGGAGCATCACTGAGCTGCCCTCTAGTCAGAGTTAGTTAGCTCTGCTCTCTGGGGCCCCAGTGGGGGACCCGTCCACCGCAGAGCTGTTGCACAAAACCAGGGCAGCAGGTGAACGCGGCCGGAATGAAATGATCCTGGAGCCTTAACTGATCAGTCAGCGCTCATGCCAATCAGAAGCCAATAAGTTTGGCTTTTCTTATTTTATCATTTTGCATTAAAATATCACCAATTCATTTTGCTCTTGAGTCAAGTAGTGTAATTTTAAAACACCATTGTTAATGGACTGTTATTATTCCATTGTGTTTCTGAAGGCCTTTAATAGACCATTGTATTGAGGGGATTAGAGAAGTGGGTCATGAAGTGGTACAGGGTTAGTAATCAGGTGGAGCCACTAGGTGGCAGCAGAGTTCAAACTGAGCCACACTTTGTTTTAGAACAGGTCCAGACCCACAGATAAGTTCTTAGATATTACCGGATCGGCACCAGAATGTAAAGGGGAACCAGTTAACCCTAAGTTTGAGCAGATGATGGGTAGGATTATAATGTTTGTTTTTATTAACAAACATGCATTCAGTCGATCTGCTGTTTATTTCCTTTAACTCATCAATAATCAATAAGTCGTTGGTTTGGTAGCGAAGCATCAATGAATCTGTGATCGATCTCTTTGGTCTGCGGAATAAATCCTGGTTTGGTCTGATCGGATGAAACCAGGATGGTGCTGAGTCGGCATTATCTGATGAAGTGATTATTGATGGATTGATTTTATTTGTTCCCTGCAGGCGGGGGAATCCGCTCCACCTTTCCTCGGAACGCTACCAGAAGATTGAGCGTCTGTGGCGGCAGCACGGCATTGCTGAGGTCATAGGTCACGCTCAGGAGGCCAATCAGACGCTGGTCGCCATCGACTGGCAGCACCTGTGACCGCGGACTAGCCCCGCCCACTAACGAACCTCTTTGAACCAATCAGCTCGCTGCAGCTGCAGCCTGAGGTCGGAGCAGCTTTCAGGGATTTTTTAGTGTGTTTGGATTCTGACCTTTGACCTCTTACTGTCAACCCTACCCCCTCAGTCAGCAAATCAGAGATCACCTGATTGGCTGGAGGTCAAGTGACCTCTGTCAGGTGTACGTTGCATTTTGATGGACTGGGTCTCCATGGCAACACAGGGGAGAGTAATCAGATTACTCAGACGTCGTCACGAAAACCGTGTCTCCATGGCAACCAGGTCGACGAGCCGAATCTGATCGGGTTTTATTCACTTCCGCTTTAATGTGTTATTTAACGAGCCGAGCGTATGACATCACTTCCTGTTTGTGTGTTTGGGGAAGCGGAGTGTCGGAACCGGACCAGAAACGGACCGGGTCCGGCTGACGCTGCGCCCCGGTAACGTCACTTTAACCTGTAGAACAGAACCAATAAAACGGGCTTTAAAGAACCTCTGAGTCCGCTCACTGTCCAAACAACCCGACCAGAGCCGGGCTTGTGGTTCTGGGTAACATGGGGGCATTTGGGGTAACATGGGGGCATTTGGGGTAACATGGGGGCATTTGGGGTAACATGGGGGCATTTGGAGTAACATGGGGGCATTTGGAGTAACATGGGGGGCATTTGGGGTAACATGGGGGCATTTGGGGTAACATGGGGGGCATTTGGGGTAACATGGGGGGCATTTGGGGTAACATGGGGGCATTTGGGGTAACATGGGGGCATTTGGGGTAACATGAGGGCATTTGGGGTAACATGGGGGCATTTGGGGTAACATGGGGGCATTTGGGGTAACATGGGGGGCATTTGGGGTAACATGGGGGCATTTGGGGTAACATGGGGGCATTTGGGGTAACATGGGGGCATTTGGAGTAACATGGGGGCATTTGGAGTAACATGGGGGGCATTTGGGGTAACATGGGGGCATTTGGGGTAACATGGGGGGCATTTGGGGTAACATGGGGGGCATTTGGGGTAACATGGGGGCATTTGGGGTAACATGGGGGCATTTGGGGTAACATGAGGGCATTTGGGGTAACATGGGGGCATTTGGGGTAACATGGGGGGCATTTGGGGTAACATGGGGGCATTTGGGGTAACATGGGGGGCATTTGGGGTAACATGGGGGCATTTGGGGTAACATGGGGGGCATTTGGGGTGACATGAGGGCATTTGGGGTAACATGGGGGCATTTGAATAGAATAGAATAGAATAGCATTTATTGTCATTGAACAGGATTCAACGAAATTTCTATTGCAACTCCCGTGCAAAAAGTCAAAACATGAGGGCATTTGGGGTAACATGGGGGCATTTGGGGTAACATGGGGGGCATTGTCCTCTGATGGACACTGGAGGTGTTGACTGTTGACAATCTGTTGTCATAGTAATGGCATCCTCAGGGCCTCACCTGCCCGGGGGCGGGGCCAGGTGCCCGGGGGGGCCAGGTGCCCGGGGGCGGGGCCAGGTGAGCCCTCTGACAGGAAGGAAGCTGCTGCTTAGCTCCAAACCCATTAGCAGTAATTGGAGGATTACAGCCTCAGATGATCCGCTGCTAATCAGATCAGGAGCGGCTTTAGCAGGACGCCAGGCTGCCGCTCACATTCACACCTCCGCTCCGCTTCGTGCTGGTTCCTGCTGCCGGTTCTGCATCATGACTCAGAACCCTGCGGTCCAGTTCCTGAGCTCCTCCTGGGACGGTTTGCAGCTCTGAGCCTCGTCGTTCCGCAGAGCCGTTGGGGATCGTCGCCGTGAGTCGACGCCATGCCGTTCCTGTCGCTGAAGTTCAACCTGCAGAAGCGGGTCAAGCTGGCTCAGGGTCTCTGGATGCTCTACTGGCTCGCCGTCATCGTGGGCATCATCCTCTTCAGCCTCGGCATCTTCTTCAAGATCGAGCTGAGGAAGAGGAGCGAGATCATGGACAACAACGAGAGCCACCTGGTGCCCAACCTGCTGATCCTGGTGGGCGTGCTGTCCTGCGGCCTGAACGCCTTCGGGGGGAAGCTGTGCCACGACTCTCTGGACCCCCAGAAGTTCTCCAAGATGAAGCCGATGCTGCGGCCCTACATGCTGCTGTGCTGCGGCTTCAACGCGCTGCTGCTGCTGCTGGTGCTGCTCTGCTTCCTCATGCAGTTCGCCGTGTACCTGACGCTGGCCGAGGGCCTGAAGAACGCCATCCGCTTCTACAAGGACACGGACACGCCGGGACGCTGCTTCATGAAGCGGACGTTGGACATGACTCAGATCGAGTTCCGGTGCTGCGGAAACAACAACTTCAGGGACTGGTTCGAGGTGCAGTGGATCAGCAACCGCTACCTGGACATGAGCAACGACGGGGTCAAAGAGTGAGTACCTGGACACAGCAGGTCGGGTCGGGTTCTGGGCTGGGTTTAGTGCTTGATGAGGTCGAGCTGCAGGTGGTTGTTGCCTTCAGGGACTCAGCAGGGGATCAATCTGGACTGAAGGAGGTCAAAGTTCCCAGCCTCTGAGGCAGCAGCAGGAGAAAGTTCTGCAGCAGACCCGACCTATTAGAAAGTTAAAGAGCCGAATCTGCATAAAACCGATTGTTATTGCAGCAATAATAATAAAAAGCAGAGGGTGTTTGAACTGATTAGTGCGTAGGGTGGGTTTACCGCAGAGCGGTCTGGGTCTCTGCTGGGGTTGCAGGATCATATTGGGTGGAGCAGGAAGTGATTGGAAGTACTGAAGGACCAATCAGCTCTATGATAACATGACCAGCTGGAGGCGTGAAGCCTCTGCGAGCTGGAAGCAGAACCAGAACTGCACCTCACTGCTGCAACTTTTCACTGATTTTTAAAAGTTTAGTATTTTCTGTGCTGATTGGTTCAGTCAGTCTGAGCATGCTCAGTTCGGAAGGTCAGGCTTCCATGAGGAACTCTCCATGATTCTCCATGTCCTACCTGAGCAGAGCCCGTTAAAAGGCTCCGCCCGGCGCCCATCCCCGCCCGGCGCCCATCCCCGCCCGGCGCCCATCCCCGCCCGGCGCCCATCCTCCCTCCTAGCAGGCTCTGACCTCTGTGTTTGTCCCTCAGCCGTGTCCTCAGTAATGTGGAGGGGAAGTACCTGATGGACAGCGTCCCGTTCAGCTGCTGTAATCCCGGTTCGCCCCGCCCCTGCATCCAGCATCACCTGACCAATAACTCTGCCCACTACGACTACGACCACCGCACCGAGGAGCTGAACATCTGGAACCGCGGCTGCCGCCAGGCCGTCTTCTCCTACTACAGCGGCATCATGAACAGCATCGGTGCGCTGCTCATCTTCACCATCATCCTGGAGGTAAGACTCCGCCCACACTGCCGCAGCCAATCAGCCTCCGGCACCAGCTTTAGCCCCTGTTAAATGCTATGGCATTAGTCCAGCATGAGCTAAAGCATTGGGGTTAGCACAGCTAACCTTTTAGCTAGCTGTGTTCACCGCTGTGTTGTACCATTCATTCAGAAGTCTGTTCAAAGCCATTTACTGCAGCAAAAACCTTCTAAAATAATCCTGACAGGGTTATTTCTAGCTAATGCTACTGCAATACCATTAGCATGCTAGCATTAGCAATAGATGGAGGCAAACAGTCAGAAACCCAATCAAAGATCATCATCCATGAAGCCTAAGAATTATAGAGCTATGGAAGTAAATCAAATTAAATAGATAATCAGCTGCAGTTCATCATGGCCTCTGTCTGGTTTCAGGACCTCAGACCCACCAAACCCACCTGTTAGCTTATTGTAAGCTTTTCTTTTATGGAAGTTGCATCGTTTCTCCTTCAAACCGTCGGGTCTCTTTTCTGCTAAAACAGTCTCAGCTGTTGGTGTGTGACGTTGAATCAATACGAGACGAGTTCATCTGGTTAGCATTGGATAGCATAGCAGTTTAACATGCTTCACAGCATCAAAGGAAACATTGGAAAGAAAGAAACTTGTATAACTAGTATAACTATTACCTTTAGTCATTAACAACCTGAAGAAACCTTAACTTGTTAGAGTTAGCATTACATTAGCACGTTAAGCTAATAAGACGAGGTTTTTAATTGGATTTCATTCTTCAGAAAACAAACTTTAAAACTTAATGCTGGCAAAAGAACACATGAACATAAAAAACTGCTTCAGAGTTAGCGCTGGCATGCTAATGATAGCTGTTAGCATGCTAACAGACAGCCTCTGATTTAAGCTAGTCCTGCTTCTGAAGGTGGAAGTTGTGGATGAAAGACTCGAAGCATGTTAGCATGTTAGAGAACATGCTAAGTGCGGTCTCTCCAGTTCGTCCTCTGCTGCATCCTGGGACATTTTCAGGGAGTCAAAGTGAAAGGGGTTGATGTCGCTGGAACATTCCAGCTGTGAACCTTGACCTGGCTTCTCAGACTGGACATGTTAACAGAACCAAAGAACAGAACCGTGGATCTGGGCCTGTTGGTCTGTTAACCCCTGGATGGGTTCATGGAGGATCAGCCGCGTTCCTAATCCTCCGTTTAAAACAAGATGATCGTCAGAACACTTGGACCGAACCGGCACCAGGTGACCCGGCACACCGCCACGTTAATCAGATTTACCGCCGTGTTTGCTTCTGAACCGGACCGGTCACGAAACCGGCCGCAGTCCGAGTCCAGTCCATCAGCGACTCGGACTGACCAGAGTGGAGTCCTGAGCTGCTGCAGGTAATCTGCCTGGGGGGTTAATCTGCCGCAGCAGGGGGCATTCTGGGAAGACAGGGATGTTTCCTAAGAGGCCCGTTATCTGGGTCAGAACAACAACTTCAACACCTGAAGTTACTGGCTGAAGGACACACCTGAGCTCACCTGGAGGCGCAGAGGGGGACAGAGGGGGACAGAAGGGGGGGAGGGGGTAGAAGGGGACAGAAGGGGGGGAGGGGGTAGAAGGGGCCTGCGGTCCCTGGTTCATAAAGCTGAACACTCCAATAAGAAGCTGCTGCTTGGTGTAGAGCTGAACCATGTTGATCTGTCCAGACTCGCCTGTCCTCTGTCTGTGTGTGTGTGTGTGTGTGTGTGTGTGTGTGTGTGTGTGTGCGTGTGTGTGTGTGTGTGTGTGTGACAGGTGGGGGACGTGGCGGGCCTGAAGTACCTGAGCACGGCCCTGGAGACGATGGCCGACCCGGAGAACCCGGAGTGTGAGAGCGAGGGCTGGCTGCTGGAGAAAGGCTTCAAAGAGACGCTGGCCGACCTTCTGTCCAAGGTCAAGACCTTCGGCCGCGCCAACCAGGTGGAGGAGGGTGGGGCATCTCCCGACGCCGATGCCACCTGAAGCCCCGCCCACCAGCAACCTGAGGCATCCCATCCCCTTCCCCACTGCAGCCGTCTGCCCTCCCCACAGCCGGGGGGACAAGAGAGGAGGCACCGCTTCCCGGACTGACAGACTCTACTGAGCATGTGCAGAACACACACTGGACACTCACTGGACACACACTGGACACTCACTGGACACACACTGGACACTGACTGGACACACACTGGACACTCACTGGACACACACTGGACACACTGGACACTCACTGGACACACTGGACACACACTGGACACTCACTGGACACACACTGGACACTCACTGGACACACACTGGACACTCACTGGACACACTGGACACACACTGGACACTCACTGGACACACTGGACACACACTGGACACTCACTGGACACACACTGGACACTCACTGGACACACACTGGACACACTGGACACACACTGGACACTCACTGGACACACACTGGACACTCACTGGACACACACTGGACACTCACTGGACACTCACTGGACACTCACTGGACACACACTGGACACTCACTGGACACACTGGACACACTGGACACTCACTGGACACTGACTGGACACACACTGGACACACACTGGACACTCACTGGACACACACTGGACACACTGGACACACACTGGACACTCACTGGACACTCACTGGACACACTGGACACACACTGGACACTCACTGGACACACACTGGACACTCACTGGACACACACTGGACACACTGGACACTCACTGGACACACACTGGACACACTGGACACTCACTGGACACACACTGGACACACACTGGACACACACTGGACACACACTGGACACTCACTCTCCCAGAGAACTGTGTGTGTTTCCTTCCAGTCTGTAAATTTGTCACCAGAACATTTTAATTGAACAGAACATGAGGTCCAGATGACCTGAGCCCGACCGGTACCACCGGTACCACCCGACCCGGCAGCCCTGACTCTGGCCTTCAGCTGCAGTGTCTCAGTGTGTCCTGCAGGGGGCTCAACTTTGAAGGACTCTTGCCAAAGTTTTTGGTTTTTACGCCCAGACTTGAGTTTGTTGATGGTCGGGCGGTTCGGGACCGGTTGGTACCGGTTGGTACCGGTTGGTACCGGTTGGGTGGGTTGCTATGGAAACAGATAGCCAAAGAACAGGTGAACAGGTAAACACTTCCTCATCTGGACTTTATGCAGAGATGTGCAGCAGGCAGGAAGTCATGACATAATTGGACTTGCAAATAGTTACGGCAGAGTAACAGGAAGTGATGTCAGAGTCCTTTGCTAGCAGAAAGTAGATGACAAGAGTTACAACAAGTGACGTCACTGGGCTGGATGTGTCCAAGGACAGACCTTGAATCCGGACACAGCTCCAGTCTGGCCACTTGACTTCCAGCCCAGTGACGTCACTTGTTGTAACTCTTGTCATCTACTTCCAAGGACCGGTCCAAGGACCGGTCCAAGGACCGGAAGAGAGGAGCAGTGAGTGGACCTCACCAAGCTCCGCCTAAAACCGACCCAGAAATCCCACAAACAAAAGCTGGCGGCGCTTTGTTTCTGTGTGAACATGGAGTCTTGGACTGATTCTGAGTCGATTAGCTCATCATTTCACCAAATATCAGCTCCAACAGGGACAGAGGATCGGACAAGTCCATTGATGTTGTTATTTTCAGTCCTAACATTTCATTTTGCAAGCTTTTAGGACTTGAGGTCAGGCTGGTAGCTACTAAAGCTAACAGAGATGTTAGCTTAACGTCAAAGGAAGGAATGAGTTGATTTACAGTTCTCTTGTTAGAAAGACTCTTATGTCTGAGTTAAGCAACTCAGCTCCTTTTTTTTCAAATTAAGTAAATTCATAATTGAAGTGTTATGTAGAACTCAGTGCAGTCGCGTCATTTAGCAGGAGAGTGCTAACTGGTTGATGTTAGCTCACAAGCTCTGCTGACATCAGAAACATACTTACATTTTTATGTCAAACTCAGCGAAAGACTCATTTATAATATTTTCACTTCTAACATGGAAACTTTTTAGTTTGTTATTCCACTTGCTAACTTGCTAACAGTGTTAGCGAAACAGCAGCAAAACAAACAGTGGATCACCATGGTAACGTGGAGCCTGGCGCTACGTTAGCATCCATTTACTCATTTGTTTTTCTGAATAAACTTTATTTATTACAGTAAACAGCCATACAGTCGTATTGAGGCCTTCCTCTGATGCAAATTATATGGATGAGTTGGTCCAGAAGGTTTTGAGTCTCATCAGAACGATGAGAATGAGAATAATGAGAATGATAATGGAGGAACTGGGTTTCTGTCCAAGAAAGGAATTCAAATAATTGACTTTTTTCAAGAGATGTGAATACTTTTTTAAAAACACCATAAATATTTTCTTTCATTCAAATTTAGCTAAAAAATAAAAATAAAATTTTAAGACGTTTCGTCTTCTGGTTCCTACAAAAGTCAAGCTGAAAATTATTTAAGAACACCAAGTTCTACTTTTTATTCACTGTGGTTCCTCATGTCCCCACTTATTTACATGCAGAAAGAATTTTGTCAATATGCTAAATACATATTGATCATATCTGGTTCCGTCTCTTATTGGCAGAGATTATTGAAGTGCACTGAGCCTCGTCCAGCGGAGTTCAACCGTTTCCCAGAGCGGATAACAAAACCAGCCGCTGTTTGTGGATAGAACACAAAAAGACAATCATTTCCCAGAGGAGCATAAAATAAAGCATGAAGACAAGAAAATGACAATCAAAATAAATATGAATGAAGAAAACAGCACAAATTGTGATACATGTGCCAGATGTGAATTAACATGAAAGATGATCCAACAAGTTGATTTCACTCTTTGGTTAGTTGAGGATTGAATTATTAATAAATAATGTTTAAGTTCAATCCAAAAAAACTGAAAAGTTGCATCTATTTACTAATGCATGTACATTAGCTTGTGTTTGTGACACTATGGCAAGCCGTTTTGACATAAATTCAGTTTCAGCTGACTATCCGTAATTATATTCCAGATATCTGAAAATGCATTTTGACTATCTGGAATAATAATTCAAAATATCTGCGTTTACATCTTGATGAGTCAAAATTCCTTTCAAGATTTCTCAGATGACGTCACTGGATCTGTAATTTGATGAGACTCGTATCCGGAATTATGATTTAAGATATCTTGAACTGAATTATCACCAATCAAAATGACAATTTTAGATATGTGAATTAAGAATGAGGTGGAAGCCCCTTTGTGCTGCCCAAACAGTTGCCTGAAGAATTTGATGTTTCCTGCACAAAATTGTCCATAAATGGCAGAAATTAGAAAGAGCTCGGCAATGTTGGAAATGCGGAAAACTATAAGACTGCTAATGATATCTGCTAAAAAATCCTGTTTATTCATTTATGATGAAACGAATGCCCTTAAAGCAGCTTTGAAAAGCTAAACCTGCTGTTGTCAACCCATTTTCAACATGAAAGTTGTGAATTTTCAAACATCTTGTTTTGTTTTTTTCTGTTTTTCATTGTTTTATTAAACTTTCAAATTGACGCTTTGACTAGACAGAATGCTAATTCAAGATATCAGTTTAAGATATCTTGCATAGAAAAGTTGAATAATTCAAAATATCTCGAATTCATTTAGAGATATTTCAAAAAGGAATTTTGACTAGTCAACATTATAATTCAAGATATCTCTCATTTAGTTTTGTCTAGTCATTATTTGCTTTTAAGATATCTATAATTTAACTTTCACTAGTCAAAACTACATTTCTCCTATCCAAAAATACATTTAAGATATCTTGAATTATGGACTAATTAGAGATATCTTTGATTAGAATCATGACTAATCAAAACTACAGTCGAGATATCTTCAATTTACTTTTTGACTAGTCATAATTCATCGTAGATATCTTGAATTGAAGTCTGCATACAAAACAAGATACATTTTGACTGGTCAGAATGTAATTAGATATTAGTCATAAAACTATTTGATATCTGGAATGTAAGGGCAGTAAAACCGAATTTATGTTAAAACGTCTTGCCATATACTGTATTATTCTTCACCTTTTTAATGAAGGCTGTAAAAATAAATATATTAGTTTGATTCTAAAATGTTTTGCACATTTCTGTCAGGAATAAATAGAAGCAAATTATTCATTTTCAAATCTAAACTGCAGATAAAAAGTTCCATTGAACCAGGATGTTTGAAGGATTCATTCATTCATTCATTCATTCATTCATTCATTCATTCATTCATTCATTCATCCTGATCAGGAATGAATGATCTACCAAACGAGCCTGCAGCGCCCCCTGGAGGCCCCAGCAGCTCATGTTTTGGTGAGCAGATTCTTGAGTTTTTCACACTGGCGCCTAAAAACGTTGCGAAAATCACGTTGTCATTTACAGAGAAGAAGAAGAAAATTATTTGCCGCCATTGTTGCTCTGCCTGAACGCCGGACCTGCAATGAATCATGGGATATGAATCCTGGGTCCAGTCTTTGAATTCAGACACAGCTTATGACTTCATCACTCAGGAAATGATGTCAACATTTCCTGAGTGCTGACATCACATTTCCACAGGAAATGGTGACCTTGTAACAGGAAGTGACGTCAGAGGGGTGTTTGGGTGTGGCTGGGCGAAGCTTCCTGTAGTCAGACTGAAACTCTAGAATAAAAAGTCCAGAACCAATCAGTGTCTGTCTTTTATTCAGCATCATCCCACTGGGCCGTCGTCATGGAGACGTCTCCAGAGGTCAGCGACGTCCAGGTCAAAGGTTGCATTTATTTAGGAACAAAATGGAGCTAAACGGGTCATGAACAGAACCACAGGAGACCGGTTCTGGAGAGGATCGGCTCAAAACGGCTCCAGGACCCAGACTGCACCTGGGTCAAAGGTCACAGCCTCATCAGATATTCTGAGTTCTCTGGAGCTTCTGCAGAACCCGGCGGTTCTGGTTCTGTGGGTTCTGACCCATCTGCTAAACAGATCAGGACGTTAATGAGCTCAGAGGACAGATTAGTTCTGCTGACGCAGGAAGAAACACCGGGGAGGAACCGGCTCGGGTCGGGTCGGGTCGGCTCGGGTCGGGTCGGGTCAAGTCGGGTCGGCTCGGGTCGGGTCGGCTCGGGTCGGGTCGAGTCGGGTCGGCTCGGGTCGGGTCGGGTCGGCTCGGGTCGGGTCGGCTCGGCTCGGGTCGGCTCGGGTCGGCTCGGCTCGGGTCGGGTCGAGTCGGGTCGGCTCGGGTCGGGTCGGGTCGGCTCGGCTCGGGTCGGGTCGGCTCGGGTCGGGTCGGCTCGGGTCGGGTCGGGTCGGGTCGGCTCGGGTCGGGCTCCGGACGCTCAGGTTGCAGCGCGGCTCACAGAGGGAAACCAGAACCTGAACAGAACCTGCATCAAGGTCAGAGCTGCAGAACCTTCTGGACCAGTCGTCCACGGCTCAATGAGGGAAACCCGGCCCACGTGGTTCTGCTGGGCCGGACCGGCACCACCGGCCCGTGGCTCCATCAAATCAGGAACCGGGAAATCCGTGAACAGAACCAGAACCAGAACCAGCTACAGCGGGAAAACAGTTCAGAGCAACCAGAACCTCCCAGTGGGGATCAGAACCGTCTGGACCAGAACCACAGCAGGTTCTCCTGGATCTTCATCCACCTGGCAGGTAAAGTCTGATGATGATGATGATGATGAAGGTTTACAAACATCCAAAAACCTTCAGAGAAAAATCCAGAACCAGACGAGACCCAACGGTCCAAAACCAGCAGAACCTCTGAGGCGCCCGGCCGGCTGCTGTTGCCATGGTTACCACTTCTGGTTCTTGGACAGGGAGGCGACGATCGCCACGACGACGCCCACGTAGATCCCGGTTCCTATGGTGATGGAGAGAACGGCGAGGAAGAGCGCCCGCCTGGAGGCGGAGCCGGCCAGGTGGAGGTCACCTGTAGACGCCGCCCGGCTGGCCTGCGGACAGAGACAGAGGTCACGACCCCCACCATCGCCATGGAAACAATCAGGACGCACCGCCACGCTGACAGGAAGCGGCTTCCTCCAATCAGGGCCAGGGGGCGGGGCTTCCTCCAATCAGGGCCAGGGGGCGGGGCTTCCTCCAATCAGGGCCAGGGGGCGGGGCTTCCTCCAATCAGGGCCAGGGGGCGGGGCTTCCTCCAATCAGGGCCAGGGGGCGGGGCTTCCTCCAATCAGGGCCAGGGGGCGGGGCTTCCTCCCACCCTTCCAGGTTCTGGACGGGTTCCGATGTTCCCATGCTTTCTGGACCCGGGTCAGGGTCAGAGGTCAGGGGTCAGAGGTTCTGATCTCACAGCTCAACAGCATTTTTAATTGTTTGGTCCTACAAAATAAAAGACTCCATATTTCCCCCTCATTTGGACTTTCAAAATAAATGTCAAAGACCAGGTCAGAAAGGTAGATTCCACCTGGAGGTTCTGACCCGGTGGATCCAGACTGGGTCCTGGAGGTTCTGACCCGGTGGATCCAGACTGGGTCCTGGAGGTTCTGGCGTCCATGTTGGAGTTCTCTTCCTGGTGTAACACACCTGGACCCAGGAAGTTACATCATCAGGACAAACTCTGAACCCTGCCGGGTCGGAACCAGACCTTCACATCAGAACCATCAGAATCTGCTGGACCAGAACCCACAGCAGGAGCCTGTCGCTATTGGCAACAAGCATGTACTGAGCACGCTCACTGCAGAGCGGTTACTTAGCAACCAGAGCAGGGAACGGGCAGCAACAAGAGAAGAAGAAACTGCAGGAGGTCCTGGGTCAACGCAACATCCACCCACACAGGCCCCGCCCACACAGGCCCCGCCCACACAGGCCCCGCCCACACAGGCCACGCCCACACAGGTCCCGCCCACACAGGTCCCGCCCACACAGGCCCCGCCCACACAGGTCCCGCCCACACAGGCCCCGCCCACACAGGCCCCGCCCACACAGGTCCCGCCCACACAGGCCCCGCCCACACAGGCCCCACCCACCTGGTGCGCCAGGTAGAAGGCAGCGATGCCGAGCGGCCAGAAGCAGCAGAGCATGGAGAAAACACTGAGGCTCCGATGATCCCTGGGAGGAAGCAGCAGGAAGGTGTCATCACTGAGAGAGGAGGAGCTGGAGAGGTCGCTCTGCACACGCACACACACACACACACACACACACACACACACACACACACACACACACACGTAGATCTACAGTTATAGATCTAGAGTCAATGCACAGCTTCAGTTATTACAACTAAAAAACTAGCGATCAGCCTGAAACCTGGGAGTAGTGATGACCTCTGACCTCTGACCTGAACCTCCAGAGCCACATAAAGACAGTAACAAAATCGGCCTTCTATCACCTGAAGAACATCTCCAGGATTAGAGGACTAATGTCTCAGCCAGATCTAGAGAAACTCATTCATGCGTTTATCTTTAGTCACATTGATTATTGTAACAGCGTCTTCACAGGCCTGTCCAACAAATCAATCCTCCAGCTGCAGCTGATCCAGAAGCTGCTGCTCCTGTTCTCACTAAAACCAGGAAGATAGAGACATAACAGCAGTTTTAAAGTCCCTCCACTGGCTCCCTGTAGCTCAAAGAATAGATTTTAAAATACTGTTGTTGGTTTATAAATCACTGAACGGTTTAGCACCACAATACATTAAAGATCTGCTGTTGTTGGATCAACCTTCCAGACTCTCAGGTTCTGGTTCTGGTCTGCTCTGCATCCCCAGAACCAGAACCAAGAGAGGAGAAGCAGCTTTCAGCATCTATGCACCAAACATCTGGAACAAACTTCCAGAAAACTGTAAAACAGCAGAAACCCTGACTTCCTTTAAATCTCGACTAAAAACCAGCTGATTAGTTTGATTTGAAATGTAATATGTAACAATGTATTGTTGATTCTATGACTTTGTATTTTTGTGTTTTGTTAAGAATTAAAAGAGGAATAACTTGATTTAGCTCGTTAATTCCTCTCTGATCCCAGATTCTTGTGCCTCAATATGCGCAGGGAGAAAGAGCAATCAATCAATGCAAGAAGCATCTCACCTAGATTATCAAAAGTCCAAGACATGACAAAACAGAAACAATTACACAACTTGAAAGTAAAGGCAGAAAATGCATTTTCTGGAAATTGCGAACTCGGGCAGAAAGCAATTTGAACTCTTTGTTGCAAACAAAAACTTTAGAAGCCTGTGCCTTTCTCTAAATGTAAATATATGCATTAGGAGGTGTGTGTTTTCCTCAGTGGGGTCTGTCTTAGTATTGATTTTATTACCTCCTGCTAAAGAGCCCAAAGGCAGATATATGGATCGTCCAACTGGGTCTCTGCCGTACCAGGCGTCTCCTGCAACTCACCCTGAGCTAAATTTACTTCCTCTGTCTGTTTAGTTTCTGCCTCAAATGATTCAACAAGAAAGTAGTTTGTATTTTTAACCAAGCTTGCACAAAATGTAATGCTAAATAATGACTATAAGTTTGGATCTAATAAGTAACTAATTCAAAACATGCTTAAAGAAATATATTTAATTCTAATAAAGATAAAATTATTTATAAAAAGTGTTAAGATCCTAGTGAACTTTTGAACCATGCTAAGGAATCTGTTCACTGCCTGTCAGACAGACTCCCTGTCTAAAGAGAGTTAAGGAAGTCTCAGTCTGTTTCTTTAAGATCCTCCCTATAGGATTTATATAAAACTTTTAGAGTGATCAGTTGTTTTAGTTTGGATCTTTATCCAAGTTTGTCTTAACGTAAAGATTAGCCTGTGTGCTATTGTGCTAATTTAAAATTCTATTTCAACAGTTTATGATGAAAAACACTTTGAAACGCCTTGCTGCTGAAATCAAATCAAATTTGATTGATTGATTGAATGTACACACAATGTACACAATATACACACTAACACATTGAGTCTGATGTAACCCGAAGGTTTCATCAGACAATGGATGGATGGTTGCTGACCTCCAGCTCCTCGTTCCTGACTGGGTCAAAGGTCATCGGGGAATCTTGGCCTCATCTCCACTGAGCTCCAGTAACTTGCAGTCAGAGAGTCGCAGGGAAGATGCGGCTGAGCAACAAGTGGGGGCGGGATTTCGATGAAGGTCGTCTCACAGCAGGCTCCGCCCACAGGCTCCGCCCACAGCCGCAGCAGGAGGCCTGGAGCCTGGGGGGGGGGAGGGCGCGGGGGTCCAGCTGCTGGGGAGGCTCCGCCCCCGGCCCGTGGGTGTCGATGAGGCCGCCGTGTTCTTTCAGGGGGGACGGGCCCGCCTCCGCTGCTCCGCCCTGCATGGTGCTCCTGCTGCTCCTCAGAGGGGTCAGAGGTCAAACTGTGACCTGGAATAGGAACAGGAAGCTGTCAGTATGGGCTGCTGGCCCTGAAGAGGCCCAGAGAGCAACCGTCAGGAACCAGTTCCCACTGTGATGGCTTGTTGTGTCCTTGGGCACCTGCTGCTGGTGGTGTGGGGCCCAACAGGTGGTGTGGGGCCCAACAGAGGGCGCTGTGCAGGCAGCCTGGCCTCAGTACCTCAGGGCAGCCAGGGCTACTATCCAGTATATAGTAGCACCTGCAACCTCTAAAGCGGACAGAACTGATGCCATCAACATGTGGTAGCTACATGCTATTAGCAGCTATATGCCAATTCCAGCTTCCGATTCAGGAAATGGCTAAAGGGCGATTCCACCTAATTATTCACTACCTACTACATCTTCAATTGTTAAAAATCTCCAACAAGACCCTTCAAACCTGGACTGGATCATTCTGCTCTCTGAGGGAATACGATTTTATTTTGAAGGGATTGTTAGGGTTAGCTTAGCTTTCAGTGCTAATGAAAGGAGCTTATTGTCAGGTTCTGTGTTTTAATTCCGAGTTTCTGTGTCCTGAGTCTCCTCGTTGTCCTGTCTTCCCCTTGATTGTTCCCAGGTGTGTCTCGTTCTCCTGATTCCCTCTGTGTATTTAGTCCCTCCTGTGTCCTCTGTTCCTCGTCGGTCCTTGTCAGATTGTCGTTGTTTGTCAGATTGTAGTTGCTTGTTTTGGTTTTCCGCCTGTTAGACCAGTTGTTACCGGTGTTGTTGTTACCGGTGTTGTTGTTACCGGTGTTGTTGTTACCGGTGTTGTTGTTACCGGTGTTGTTGTTACCGGTGTTGTTGTTACCGGTGTTGTTGTTACCGGTGTTGTTGTTACCGGTGTTGTTGTTACCGGTGTGTTGTTACCGGTGTTGAGCCCTGGCTTCCGCTCAGCCGTGCTGGCCGCGGACTCCGTTTATTGACTGTGTTTTTGTGGACTATTTTGTTATTAAATTACACCACCGTTCACTTACCTGGGTCTCCAGCGTGCTGCCTCACCACCGCAAACTCCATGACACTTATAACGCAAAGAGCAAGAGAAGTTGCCATGGAGACATGTTATTAGCAGAGTGACGTAAATAAAACATGTTTGAAACTTTCTCCAGTGATCAGTTTTATACTCTAACTGGGTTTGATGCTCATGTTCTGACTCCTGCTTGGTTGCCATGCTTTCCATAGAAAGCAGCTCCTGGTTCGGCGTCCTGAGTTCTGGATCAGACTCCCGGTTCGGAACCTTTTCATGCAGCAGAACAATTCCCCCCCTCCCTCCTCCCCCCGACACCAACACGCACGCGCAAGGCTGTTTACAGGCAAAATGCGTGAAGCTCATGATAATAATTAAATACCCACACACTGGCTCTGACGTCATCCCTGTGATCACGAGCGCGCATACTCGCCTCGCAAGGTGAGGCGAGAGTGTCTTCATCTGAGGGGCTGCTGTCCGTCCTCCGCCCGACCTCAGAGCGCTCTGAGCCGGGCAGGAGCTGGCAGAGCCCCGCGGAGGAGCCGCGGAGCTCCGGACCTCTGAGAGTCGAGAGAAGAGCTCGGCGTGCGGGCAGCAGAGCGTCCAGGTGTCCAGGAGGCTGGAGGAGCCCAGTCCACCTCGCTGCAGCAAACAGGAAGGGGCGGGACGGACCAGTGTCACACCTTATATAGCAGGGGTCCCCAAAGTGGGTCCTGAGGGCCGCGTTGTGCATGTTTAGGCTCGTTAGAGGCAGAAGAACAACATTGAGCTGCTGAAAGGTTGTCACTACCACCAAGGAGAGAACTAAAGCATGCAGGATGCAACCGACCCTCCAGGACCCACTTTGGGGACCCCTGTTAAATGGAAACGGGCCCATTAAAGTGAAGGGGGCGCTATTTCCTATATTATCCTACCGTTTTGGCAGCGTAAAAATAAAAATGTGAATTTTTGCTTTTATCTGTTTCACAACCTGGTTGTAACAACCTGGGTTGTTATTCTTCTTAACCTATTTCATTAGTTTGTTATTGACTTTTGTTTCAGTAAATTTCTTATCAATACATTGCTAATTGTATTTGCGCCCCCTGCTGACCAGAACTCTGCTTCAGATCCATCAGAACCTCTGATGGATTGATGAGGACACAGAAGCTTCACACGAACAGGAACTGTTGTCTCTGTGTTTGGTTCTGGTTCTGGTTCTGTAAACCCTGAATGTGGCCTTCTCTGCCCTCTCGTTTGAAAAAAGAACATGAAATAAAAAGAGTTAGAAAACATAAATATGTGAAAAACTGTACAACACAAAACATCCTTAAAAAATAATAAATAATAAAACTGTGACTGACAACAGATTAACATTTTAATTTGATGGCATTTCATGAGGACATCAGTTATGCATTGATCTCCGGAGAATCCAGGATCCAGCGCCATACCGATAACACGTGACGTCATTAACTCCTCCGAACAGAGGGGGCGCTACTGCGCTAACAGCTTACCGGAAGATTCGCAGAGGCGGAAGACGCGCTCCGTGGTGTGACAGTGCGCATCAAACCTGCGGCAGAACCGGGACAGAACCTACAGAACCAGGCTGGAAAAGAGAGCGCTAGGGCGAAAGAGGAAAGTGCGCGCGCAGTTGCAGGTGCGGGACTCGCCAGGTAACCGGACTCACCGAGGAGGGGGGCAGGCCCGCCGGACTGCGGTCCGGACCGGCCGACAGTGTTTTTTCCACGGTTTGTTTAGAACCAGAACCGCTCTAAGCCGCTTCCGTTTAACTTCGGGTCTGCTTCATTTGCTGTCTGTGACCGAACCGTGAAGCTCTAGCAGCTGTTGGACCCGGTTCTGCTCAGCCGTTAGCAGGTTCTGGGGTTTAACGGAGCCGAATTCTGCCGAACATCATGGACCAGCAGACCAGAGTCTTGCGTGATCCCTGACTGCAGCAGGTTCTGGCTCCTGGCGGGTCCACACTCACAACTCTGAATCCGGAGCGGACTTCGGTGTGACGTCAGCACGTTGCGTCAACGGCACAGAGGGACAGAAACACATTTAGTTGGTCAGCTAGCTAGTTAGCTTGTTAGCGGTCAAGTAAGTTAAACTACTAATTAGTTACATAATTAGATAAACAGTTAAATTTTGATCACGTGAGGAAGAAACCGTGACCTGCTGACCTGTGAAGCTGCTGCCTGATTGGCCCGTTGATTGAAGGAACCTCAGGACCTGAGTGGGGCTGGTTCTGATGAATCCAGGGTGGACTGGACTGTCCTGCTGGAGCAGGGAGGGGGGCACACCAAGAAGGATGGAGGTTCTGATGGGAGAGGTTCTGGTCTGGAGGTTCTGATGGAACGGGTTCTGGTCTGGAGGTTCTGATGGAACGGGTTCTGGTCTGGAGGTTCTGATGGAGAGGTTCTGGTCTGGAGGTTCTGATGGGAGAGGTTCTGGTCTGGAGGTTCTGATGGGACGGGTTCTGGTCTGGAGGTTCTGATGGGACGGGTTCTGGTCTGGAGGTTCTGATGGGAGGGGTTCTGGTCTGGAGGTTCTGATGGAACGGGTTCTGGTCTGGAGGTTCTGATGGAACGGGTTCTGGTCTGGAGGTTCTGATGGGAGAGGTTCTGGTCTGGAGGTTCTGATGGAACGGGTTCTGGTCTGGAGGTTCTGATGGAACGGGTTCTGGTCTGGAGGTTCTGATGGAACGGGTTCTGGTCTGGGTCAAACTGCTCTAGACTCTGAGGATAAAACAGAACCAGGTCCAGGTCCAAGACCCGTTTTCTGTCACGTGGTCTGATGTGTGTCTCTGTTTCCATAGCAAGCATGGTGGGCGAGCGCCGCAACGGGAACCTGCTGGTCCAGCTGGGGCCCAGCATGCAGGCGTACCCGGAGGAGTTGATCCGCCAGCGCCGGACCCACGACGGCCAGACGGAGTACCTGATTCGCTGGTGCCTTGTCATCATGGAGGACGGGTCCGGCTGCGGGGGCGGAGCCGGCGAGACGGGGGGCCCGAGCGGCGGAGGGACCGGCGTAGGCGGGTCCGGCGGCTCCACGTCCGGAGAAGCTAAGCCGGAGAACATCCTGATGTGGATGACGATGGAGGACGTGTTCGCCAACTGCCCAACGCTTCTGGGCAAGAGGAAGGCGGAAGCGCAGCGCCCCCTACAGCCGCAGGAGAAGCAGCGGGGCGACAAGGCGGCGGACGGAGACCCTGAGGGTGGCGAAGAGTTCCCAGCAGACGTGACATTCGACGAGGTGGAACTGTCCGATATGAAGGAGGACGTGAAGAACCTGGTGTGTCGCGCAAGGAAGCAGATGGCCAAGAAGAGCGACTTCTCCATCAACATCATGCACACCATCCACGTGCTGAGCGCCTACGCCAGCATCGGCTCGCTGGTCGGCGTCTTCAAGGAGACCGGCGCCCTCAACCTGCTGATGGAGCTGCTGTGCAACAAGGAGACGCAGACGAGGCGCAGCGCCGGCAAGATGCTCCGGGCGCTGGCCTCACACGACGCAGGTCAGGTGCATTCTGGGTAACCAGGCGGACCCGGTTAGACCCGGTTCTGTTGCTGTGGGGCGGGCGGACCCGGTTAGACCCGGTTCTGTTGCTGTGGGGCGGGCGGACCTCAGCGGACCCGGTTCTGACCCGGTTCTGAACCGGTGCCCATGTCTCCCTGCAGGGAGCCGGGCGTACGTCCTGCTGTCCCTCAGCCAGCAGGACGGCATCGAGCAGCACATGGACTTCGACAACCGCTTCACCCTGCTGGAGCTGTTCGCCGAGACCACGTCCTCCGAGGAGCACGGCATCTCCTTCGAGGGCATCCACCTGCCCCAGGTATCTCCACCTCACACTGTGGGTTTCAGGTTCTTTTAGAACCAGGAAAAGCTGCTGTCTGTGGGATAGCAACACAATTCTGTTAGTTTGGGTCAGGACCAGACCAAAATCAGATGGTTCTGATCTGATTCTAATCCGGTTCTGTCTGTTCAGATACCCGGGAAGTTGCTCTTCTCCCTGGTGAAGCGATACCTGTGTGTCACGTCTCTGATGGACAAGCTGAACACTGCGGGGGCGGAGACAGGCTCAGAGAGACTGGACGGTAGCCCCGCCCCCAGCACTTCAGGCTCCGCCCACCAGACAGAGCTCCTCCGCCTTCAGAAGGAGTTTGACTTCACCATGGCTATGGCCAACCTGATCTCAGAGCTGGTCCGGGTTATGGGCTGGGACCGGAACCGGAAGCCGCCCGACGGCTCTGGACGGCAGTCAGGAGGGGGCGTGGCCAGCAGCGAAGAGCGGGAGGAGGAGGTGCCCCGCCCCATCCTCCGCTCCATCTTCCAGCCCCGGTTTTGCACCTCATCTGTGTCGCCGGCCGCCAGCTCCCCGGTCTCGGCGCCAGCAGCCACGCCGACCAAGAAGAGGGGCGGGAACGGCTTCAAGGCGCGGTCGGACTTCAGTAGCCGCTCGGCATATGTGGAGTACGTCCAGGACAGCCTGAAGAGCGGCATGGCGGTGCGCATGCTGGAGGACTACGAGGAGGTGAGCGCCGGCGACGAGGGCGAGTTCCGCTACAGCAACGACGGCTCGCCGCCTGTTCAGGTGAGCACCGGGACCTGCTGCGACTGTCGGCTTGGAGCCACTTCTGGATCACGCTGTGCTGTCTGCAGGTCTACTGGAACTCCCTGTCCAGAACCTACTGGGTCCACTGGCACATGGTGGAGATACTGGGCAGCGGAAGCAGCAGCCAGTCTGACAGAGACACAGGAGAAGGCCTCCACCCTGACCGAAACGCTCAAACTCACCGCAGGTAAGGTGGACTTCCTGGCCTCTACGCCTCCTCCTCTTCTCCTCCTCACCTCTCCACCTTCTCTGCCCCCAGTCAGCCAGACGTTCTTCTCCAAGCCACCGGGCGGCCTGTACTCGCTGCCCTACCTGACGGAGGCGCTGCAGGCGGAGCCACTGCTGCTCAGCCGAGCAGAGTGGTGGGAGGTGCTGTTCTTCATCAAGAAGCTGGAGCCCAAGCAGCAGCAGGAGGCGCACCGCTTGCTGCAGCAGAGCTTGGAGGACCAGGTGGGGCCCCTCGCCGTGTCCCCTGTCTCCGGGTTAGAGCCGGCAGACCCATCTGTGTCCTCTGTCCAGGAGGTGCTGCCAGACGATGCGTCTCTCATCGGCCTGTCCGTCCCCGGAGACGTGTCTAAGAAGCTGCTGCACTACCTGAAGCAGGTGCTGCCCTCCTGGTGCCTCGGCGACCTGCTCTGCTCCCACGCCTTCTACAAGCACTACCTGCAGCGAGGAGGAGGAAGCCTGGAGGACGAAGAGCTGCTGGGTGAGCGTTAGGTTCAGGGACCTCCTTCCTGTCCCTGCCACCCAGCTCACTCTGCTTCCCTCTACTTGTCTCTGCAGCAGAAAGCTCCCTGGCTCCACCCGCTTTAGGAGGAGGAACACAGAGCTTCACCTCCTCATCGTCGGCCTCCTCTTCTTCAACTAAAGGCTCAGTCTCCAAGAAGGCCAAGAAGGAAGCTCCTCTGGACTCTGGCTGCTTGGAGACGGAGAGCGAGCTTCCCTCTGAGGACGACAGCAAGTATCCAGACGACCTGGAGGACAAGTTGAAAGGTGGGGACATCTTCATCATGATGATGAGGAGCGTCTGTCTCCATGTTGGTGATAAGGTGCCAT